GTCTTTCTTTTCAGCCTTTTCTTATGGATGATTCATGATGTGACTTGCAATGTAGTAGAGTCATCAACTTGGATGAGCTAAGAGGCAAATAATCAAAGATTATGAGACTGTTCTTGAATTCTATGATATGTTTCTGTGGGTTGAAGGAAACATTGGTCGGCAAAACATAAAAGAAGCTATTATGAAATTGGTAAAAGTTTTAGTTGAAAGTATGAAGAAGAGAAAGAGTGAAAGCTCTAGGCATCGGTTAGTAGATTTCAATAGACATATGTCCAAAGGTCTTATCAACATTTTGAAAAAAAATTAAATTGGAAGAATTGAAGAGCTTTTGAAGTTTCTTTTGGTGTTTTGTGATGTAGCACATACCTTTAATGGGATGCATAAAACTTATCGGTTATTATTATAGTCTTGCTTGGTAGTGCTTTTTGATTATAAGATTTAGGTTTTACGAATGTCTAGATAATAAGTGGGTAGTGGGTTATGGATCGTACGAAATGTGTGATAAAATGTTTGATTTGCTTAAATTAAAATTTCAGCTATGTCAGTTATGGTAGTGACGGTCTAATTTGCACTAAATTGTTTGAATATCATGTGGATTCCTATAATATGTGACTTGTGCCCGAGCATAAATCTAACGTGTTTCATTTGGAATACCAAGTCTTTTTGCTTCCAAGGTGTTCTTGTGTTTCCTTTTTCCTTTTTGGTCAGGCTCGCTCATCCACCTTCTCTCTGATGTTATTTTCATATCAAACACTAATTATATGGGTTGGCGTGCATGATTTAGTATAATGAAATGTTTGGTCTATAGAATGAATACAACTTACCATCTTGATTATTGAGTTGAGACGAACAATTATTTTCTCGGTTGTCTCTAATCACAGTGTGTGCTTGACCAGGGGCGGACCCAGCACCCGACGAGCCCCGACGGCCACCCGTACTGGATTCGTCGGAACATTTTTTTTTATTTTACAGTGAATAAACATTTGAGATTATATATCGGGTAAGTTCCCTATTTTCAATACATTTCTTGTAGCTCAATTGGCAATAACCATAATTTTTACATGAGAGGTCCTTGTTTCGAATCCATTTTCTAACAACTTTATTGTGAAATATTTTAAATTCTCTAATTTTTGCCAAAAACAAATGAAATAAGGGAGATGATTCGAACCCCTAACCTTAGGATATAATATTGAACACTAGACTATCGTAGCACTCATGGAATTTGATAATAAGTTTACCAGAATAATATATATTACATTTTAGAAGTTTTAATGTAACTGTAAAAATTCGAACCAGTGTTCTTCCTTTGAATTATACAAAACTTGGCCACAATATAATTTGGTGAATATTACTAATTTTTACAACAAAATTATATATGTTCAGTTTGAACAAAATAATTGTTATATTTAAATTTTAGACCTTGTTTGATTTTTTTTTTNCTTTCATTTTCTGACTCCACATGTTAAAATCAATTTTTCCATCAAACTGACTAACCTCAAATTTTGCAGAGGCCATGTTAAAACAATTCAAGCACACGGCCTGATGGCAATAAACACATTATGCAAAGACTCAGTAAGAGCACAGAATAATCATAGTAATACACAAAGTATAACAAGATTTTCAAATAGTAGGTATCAGTAAAGAGCAAGCAGACCAAGTTTCAAGAGAAAACACAATGACAGAGATCACAGACAATGTTTCTAAGATCACAGACAATGTTTCTCAAATCACTCCAACAAGATTTTCCAGGAACACACCCAAACTTGATTTATCTCAGATTCTCGAAGCCTCGCAGGAGCTCCTGGACAAAGATTAGTGTCAAGGGGGTTTCAACGGTGTTTTGGAAAATCAGGGGTATGATTAAGAAACACAGAATTTTTAAAACAGGCGTTTAAAGATTTGAAAAGATCTCACCAAGCGAGTTCAAAAAACNCAAGCGAGTTTAAAACTCAATTTCTTTTGATTTTACTCAAGAGCAGACTCAAACCCTTTAGGATCTGAAGCAGATCTGCCTCCTCCTCAAAAGATCCAGGTAACTTGTTTCACCAGTCCAAACTCTGATACCACTGTAAGGCCCAGACCACAACACGATATAAGTATTCAAAACAAACAATAACCTCAACAGTAAAGTAAAACTGCAGAAAATTAAA